ACATGTTAAGCATGTAGTGAACCTTTACTTACAGCTGTTACTTTTACTCCATAATCCCAATTCTTCCTATACATATTAAAGTAGGTATGGTGCTCAGTGGGGTGAGTGGGCATTGAGAGCCCAGTGAATGTAAAGAACTGTAGTTTTAAAAGAATTCTCTCGAAGAAAAAGTCTCTTGTATTCTTCGTATTATGAACAGACAAAAGAAATTCACACACTATGACATGCTATATATATGAGGGGAAAATTAATCCTTTCTAGTTTGACTCAAGGTCACTTTACTGTCATTTTAAAGCCTACAATTTCTAGCTAAGCCAGATCCTGCAGGAATTCTAGCAGCGTTTACAGATTTGGCATCCATCCATAACAAGCAGAATGCTATGCAGCTGAGGATCTTTTCAGACTACCCTAAGTGAGACTTTATCACAGTACTGCTGACCCCAAATTAACAAGACAGTGGCAGTTCTAGAGGCAGCCCTTAGCTTCCATTAACAAAGGTTAGCTGTAGCATTAGGCAGAACAGTATACTCTGGTTACCAACCAGAATCTTATTAAGTTATAAATACATCTAATGACTTTAGTATTAGTTTCTTATTTTGGAATATGAGGGAAAAAATAGAACTCACAATCACTGGATCTAAGTAAAAGGCCACTATTTTTAATAATGTGTATTTACCTACAATATTGCTTATGAATTCTTTTTTTATAGAGCCCACATACTCCCTCAAAGGACAACTGTAACACTCCTAAAATTGTTCCATGCTATTTGCAAGGTTCAACTTTCATCTGTTTGGAGAAATTAAAAGTGGTACAAGGTTTAAAAATCAAATTGTTTGGTTTTGATTCAAGCTAGTCAAACCAGTTCAGAAAAAGACCATGAGACTTCTCCCACTCTCCTTTCTGGTTTCTTGTTAAGGAAAAAAACATTCCATTTGCACCCATCTTCATACACTGAGCTTTAAACACAGAACAGGAGAGCTGAAAGCAAGGCCTGAGTTCTTATCTTTCACTTATCTGTACCGAGAAAGAACATTATCTAAAATCATTCACCAAATAACGATAGACTGTTAGAGCAAGTTCAAGCTTACCTCATTTTTGATGACCTGTTAATTATCCATTGACCATGGACAAATTCTAGAGCTGTGCACCTTCCGAGACACCCAGGGATGGGACTGTCTCAAGGAATGTTTCAGTGGGTTGGTGAAAAGACGCAGTTCCTAAACAGACTATGAGGAAATCGAAAATAACTACACAGGTGTTAAATGCTCCATATGGGTAACACCCCTCACATCACACCCCGTCTGTTCCCAAGCACAAATGAACTGCTTCATCTTCTCCTTTCTCCTCACAAGACCCACAGTGCTGCTCACCTTCACCCCCGTGGCCTCCATCCCAGGGAAGACATGCACTGTGGGGACACTGCTTCCCAGGTAATGGCATTGTGGACTGCTGGCAACCAGGGCCTTGGTAGGGTCCCAAGAGTAGGGAAATGGGGTCAGAGACATCACCATCCTGCAAGAGCTGAGCTCCTTGTCCTTGGTCAGGATGGACAGGCCCTGCCTCAGATACAGGCTAGAAACGATTCTTCTGGGTGACTTCTTCCCCATTTGGAGAATGGTTAAAGTAGCTGAGGCAATCTGTAGTTGGCTTCAAAATCAGTATCGGGGAGGGGAGAAACCTCACAACAAACAGTGGTAACAGAAGGTTTGTGTGGGAAGGTGGTTGAGTTTGGTCTAAAACAAGCAGTGTCTCTGGTAATGAGCTGTTGTTAGGAAACACGTGGGGCACACAGCGCTTACAAGCCTTTGAAAGAGCACCACCGCTGTTGCTTCTAGGGGTTAGGTTTTGGGGTGGGGTGGGGGCAACACGAGGTGAAGCAAAGACCCAGTAACAAACATGGTGGTATTACAGAGCAATGGCCTGTACTGGCCTCAAAGTCCTGCACTTGAATCCCAGCTCCATTCTAGTTGCTGTGCGACCTTTAGTACCATAACCACCTTCTCTGAATCACAGTTGGCTCCTTTGTGACATGAGGACACCTAAGGTATCAGTCAGGGTCCTGACAGGAGACAGATGGCACACCCAGATGGGATGACTGAGGAGAGTTTCATGAAGGGACTATTTTAAAAGAGTGTGGACAGGGTTAAGAGACTCCAGTGAGGACAGTGAAGCACCCAAGGGCTGGCAAAAGCAGGGAGTTAGGACCAATCCTTGGCTTGAAGAGACAAGGGCAGGGTGTGGTTACCAAACCTCAGAAGTCCCTGACAGGGTTGCGGGCCTTGGCAGAGGAGCCCAGCCAGTGCCAACCCACACCTGGCAGGAGGGAGCCAGAGTGAATTCCCCAACTCCTCTCATTCACCAAGCTCCCCTGAGAGTGTCTCTGATGGACTCTGACCAGAAGCCAGGAGGACCGCTCCACAGAGGCCAGCCTCCTGGAGGGAAACACAGGGTGGGGAGGGGGCCCGGAGGAGCACACAGAGAGTATCTAGGACACCCAGATATTTCATAAGGCTAGTGGAGGCTTAAAATGAGAAAATAAACATAAATACCTGCACAGTACTCACCACCCATTTGATCAGACTATTTGGCATTTACTTATCAAAAGGCCACAATATAACTTTATTCTCAGGTGACAAAAGCCAGATATGGTCATCTACTCATAGCAAAAAACAAGACTTATACAAAGTTGACAGATAACATTTATTAAAACATGTTATACAAAAGGGCATGGTCTCTTCTATAAGAAGAAAATATTAAACAGTAACATTCAACGAAGTAAAACCATGCTGTACACTGAAGACAGCAATATATAAGACAAAACTATTCAACTTTTGCAACACAGGCATAACATTTCACAAAATATCAATAAGATATGCACCTAATGATAATCTGTTTATCATCAAATGGTTTTGTGGCCTAAGAGTCACCTGACTTGCATAAATAAAATATTTTTCAGGAAGAAACATTGCGAACCTCATAAAAGGAAAGAAGGCAGAAGCAACTAACATGACACAGGCTTCAAGCAAATTTTTTTTAAAAAAGGTCACATTTGCAAAATGTGTTCCAGCATCTTCCCATAGGGCACTATCAGTAGAGATCTGAAATAAGAAATTTGTACCTTTAAATATGTAAGTAGCAAAGAAAAACCCCAAACAAACCCTGGTTTCACTGAATAAAGTTAGTTACCCGTGAAAGCAACCTAGATCACAAAAGTGGCAGCACAGAAGGGATTGGGGCAACATGTTGCTGGTTTCCAGCATTCCTAAATTATCAGTCCTCATGAAGCAAACACTGGCTCTGCTGCAATGATGCCCTCTCCATCCCCACCAGGGGAGCTGCAACACACCCACTTTACCAGGGAAAGTATAGCTTTGTGGCTCTGCTCTGCCTCAACTTCACTTCTGCAGCAGCTTGGGTGTGCAAGCATCTGAGGGAGGTAGCCACTGAGGCAAAGCAGCTTCCCCTGGTTTAGAAGCCAGCCTAGGGTCAGTTAAGTTCAGCAAACATCCACTACACAGAGGGGCCCCTTTTATGAGGAAGGTGATTCCTAGAAACCAGAATCAACAAGCTGGGCCTAGGAGTGCCTGAGGGCAACTCAAAACACTGCAGAAAAAGTTACTGCAGTCTTTCCTCAGTTAGATGGTGACACCTACTTCACCAAGTGGGTTATTGTAACGTCTGTATCTAAAATTAAAGGCATGGTATAACTATTAATATTAAATACCACTGGTGGTGCCTTGAAGCCCTTTCCCATAGGGAATGGAGAAAAACCACAGTTAAGTAAGACTCAAAGTAGAGGACAAAATGCCTTGGTTGTAGGTCATTGATATGATCCCTGAAAGACCGAAAAATGTTACCCACTATCCAAACTCATTAGGAAGGATAAAGATTTTCTAAAGCTGTATTGAGGCTTAGGGGAGAGGCCATCACTCCAAACCAGGGTGGGGAGAAAAAAAGTTAAAAAGCAGAGTTTATAAAAATTCACGTTTACTATCTAAACTAAAGCAATCCCCTTCTGCTTCTCTGAACGGCCAGCACTTCAGATACCCAACCTGCTCACAGGGTCTGGCTGACTGATAAACAACCCCGATTTTTACCCTAACCCCAACTATCACAAAAAACCTAAAACAGCAGATGTGAGAAACTTATTTAAGTTCTACATGTAGTAGCTGATGTACAAATAAAGATTTTAATAAAAGACACTCTTCTTTTCACAACACATTAAATAAGTCCCAGCACAACTGTTTCCACCCAAGGGCCACCACTCCTGGCTGAACAAAAGCTCTCTCTCATGATTATGACAAGGGTGCTATGCTGACTTCAGCACAACTGAAAGACATGATTTTCCCAGAATATCTTTATTTTACCTCTAGACTCTTCTCCCCAAATATCCCAGTGCTCATATGAATATAGTATTTAATGGGAAACAGCACATCAAACCTTCCAAACAGGCAGAAAATGTTTTGCTAATACCATGAGAAAGGGTCATCAGCTTCTGGCAGAACAAAATGGATTCAATTCCTTAGTACTGAAATTAGTAGGTGTCATAAAACAATTCCTCCTCACACATAATGACTAGGATTATACCTAAAACTCATGAGAAATGGAGAAGGCAACTGAGCTGGATTGTACAGTCACCTTTATATACTTCTGTCAGGTACACAGAGAAAGGACTATTAACTGGTGAAGTTTCAACACTAAGAGAATATTAATGTGGCAAACAACCAAGAGGTAATATCTAGTTTCTAGGTTTAAAAAAACAATATATATATATTTATTTATTTATAATAAAATCTTAAATACAAAGTGCTTTTTTATATATCGAGAATGATACAGTGTTTGTGAATAAATCCCTGTTTGTAATCTTGATTACAAGAGTTAACTGGTAAATATTTTCTTTCCCCTTTCCAGACAATGTTCAGTAAGTAAACACCTTGGTATTAGGAGCTTGAGAATCAGAGGCCATTGCCAGCAATGTCTATCACATTAGAGCTAAGCCAAACTTTTAAAACAAAATTTCACCCCAAATCAAAGAAAAAAACATTTATATTTTAAGGAAAAAATATAATAGACCAGTACGTTGACAGAAAAGATGACATATCAGTAAGCACCCTGTCCTACCCTGGTTATAACCTCAGGTACATTATATAGCGTAAAAGCATTCTGAATATATGCTTTCTTTTTAGTCTAAACATCTGACTGATTCATAGAAAAGGTCTCAGAATAGCTGCTTTTCTTGGTTTTTGGTAGGCAAAGCTTTGTGGACTTGTAAATTTAAGAAGCTTTATCTATAATTTGGGAGCATAAATCTGTGACTACTTTGCTAAAATTAGGACTCCTTTCCCCTTATAAAACACATTCAAGTCCTCATGAAGAACTGGCAGTATTAGCTCAGCATACCTTCTAAAGAGCATAACCCCAGCAGTGTATTTTCAAGACTCTTTTTTTGGGGGGCAGTTTGCTCCCTTCAAGTATAACCTGCCACTCACAAAATTCTGCTTCTCTCTGCAACTCTCACTCTGACAAGTGTCACTGCAGCACTCTATTAACTCCCAAAGTTCACAGGTAACTTAGTCATGACTTTTGGCTCCTTCCCACTAACTGTGGTCATTGACTGCCCTCTTTGTGAAGCAGCATAATCTAAGACAGAGCAACAGCTGCAGCAACCAACGGTACCTGGTCAGAGTCACAGCGTAGGTATCTACTAACTGCTGAGTAAATTCCACTGCGTGGATGCTACAATTAAGCAAACAGGATTTGGGAAAGAAAACCAATTAGAAACACCTATCTCAGGCATCCTAGAGAATTAAACTCAACCTTAGTACTAAAATATAAAATGTTGCCATACCAAGAGTCTGAAACACCTTGTGACAGTAGTGGCATCTTACAGAAACTGAAGTTTGTATCGTTTATTGTTTCATGCTTAGAATGTCACCCTCTTAGCAACTCCAAAGTTTTAGTTAAAATACCCTTTAGAAAAAAACCAGACATCAGAGGTCTGTTAATCAATTTCTCATCCTAGGAATCACAATATTTGTAGCTTTTATATAAGTAGCATTTCATTCAGTGAAGCAGCTACCAAAACAAATCCACATTACCTAAGTATCTATATAGTAGAGCAAAAAAAAATTTCAGCATGACCTCATAATAATGAGTGCAAAAACTGTTGCCACCTGAAATGGAACTAGTGCGTTGGAGGCCAGTTCCAAGTGCAGGTGTCTAAGTCCACCTGTCTTAATTACAACTGGCCTGAACTTTTACTGAACTGGGCAGGAGGTTAACTTACCACCATTACCCATTCCAGGCCAGAACTGGAACACACAAATTTGAGGAATTAGATTTTTTAATTGGCCTACTTAGAGCTGGTCTTTCAGAAATATCTTCCTTTTTTTTAAGCTTCTCTCATAATAGCAAGTAGCACGCATCATCTGTGCCCAGATTTGCATTAATTACCATAGTTTATTTTTGTGCATGCCACTCAAGGGCCAGATCCTATTTTTAGTTAGCCTCAGTTGTATTCTGCTCAGCCTTTGCAGCTTCATAGGACTTGGTACAAGAAGTCACATGCCGGTGGAAACTGTCCCTCCACATAAACCTCTTTGCACAGATATTACACTCATACGGCTTTATGCCTGTGTGAATTTTCATGTGGCCCACGAGATGGTGTTTCATTTTGAATTTCTTACCACAAACACCACAGCCATAAGGCCGGAGACCGAGGTGCATGCTCATGTGTCGATCTCGCTGACTCTTATGAGTGAAACTTTTCCCACACTGACAAGGATACAGTTTGTCAGTGGCTGAGAATCCTAAGTGGGAAGCTTCTTCTTTAATCCCTGTTACCATTTCAATATTCTCATTGTAGCCTGCTGCTAGGGCAGCCTCCTGTCTATGCCCAATGAGATTTCCATCTGACCTCTCTCCAGAAAACTCTTCCATGGAAGAGCCATAGAAATCCACTTGCTCATCATAATTGCTTTCATCAGCCTGTTCATCAAACTCTGCTTCCACTTTTTTTTCCCCTATGTGAAAGTCCTCCTCCACTCCTGAAGGCTGGACTGAGTGCTCTGTCTGCATAGTATTGATAGACTCAGTGACCTGATGCTCATCGTAGGCTGCATGCACATCCATGCCTTCACAGGCCTGCTCTAAGCGCTCAGGCTTCACATGGATCCAGCGTTTGTGAGCCATTATGCTGGGTTTGCTGTACATGGGCCGGGTGTAATGGAACTCGGCGCTGTCGCTAGCCCCCTCCTCCCCATCCTGGCTCGCCATTTCAGTACTCAGTCGGTCATGCTCTGTGGATGAGTTGCTGGGCAGGTATTCGTGCTCAGTGAGCTGAGATGACAGCTCATCTTTGGTGCTCTCCTCTTCATTCTCACCATCCCTCAGTTCCTGGGCTTTGGGGAAATCAGTATGACTCCCTGAGCCCAGCTCAAAGCTCTCTACCAGGCCATTATAACTACTGCTGCTTGGAGATTGGTGGTCACTGCCATGGTTTAGCTTCTGACAAAGAACAGTAGGGTTTCCCTCTAAAACCTCAGTGCATTTGTCTACCACATGCCACATCTGGAGGAAACTTGCTGCTGTCAAGTAACTAACAATTTCTGGAGCAGGCATTACTAGGCGTCCTGTATAACTAGATAGGAGAATGTTTTCAAACACTCTTGGGTTCATCACATCAGGCAAAACAATTCTTCTGCTGTTTTTCAGGAGTACCTGGTCACAAAAGTAGGGTGAACTGGCAGCAAGAACAGCTTTGTGTGCCCGGAAAATGTGGCCTTGGACAACAATGGAGACGTCACATAATTGTCCTTGCTGGCGCTGCTGGTTCAGTTTCTGCAGAATGGTACTGGAAAAATCAGGAAATTCTACTCGAAAAGAGTTTGTTCCAGGCTCCATTTCATCACAAATCTTGTTCAGTGCTATAAGAGAAAGAAAAATTAGCACTAATTCTAACCCAAAGAAAAACTTATTGTAACCCCTTCTCCATCATTAAGACAACTAAGATAAGTTTCAAAGTTCCATAAAGTCCCTGAGCAAGGTTTGCAGGTATGAGTATGCCAAAGCAAGAACTACCAGCACTCTTCATGGAACTCTGGATTTTGCCTCTCTGTCTGTGGGTAAGAGAATAGAACCCACAGTGACTGGATTTGTAATACACACAAATCACCTAAGTAAAACAAAGTATTGTAAATACTTTGTACTGTAAATATTTCTAGTTAAAATAAACATGATAGGTCAAAATGACTTTTAAGTGACAGGGTCTTGCTATGTTGCCCAGGCTGGAGTGGCGTGGCCATTCACAGGCATCATCATAGTTCACTAGAGTCTTGAATTCCTGGGTTCAAGTGATCCTTCCATCTCTGTCTCCCGAGCATGGGAGTACAAGACATATGCCACCACCAGCTCAAAATGATGAGATTCAACTCACATTCTATAAGCTGTGTTAAGTAAGGGAGGGAGAACAGAATTATGTGAAGCAGGAAAAGCATATGCAAAGGCTCTGAGGCAAGAATGCATTTGGCCTTTGTAAGGAACTGAAAGGAGACCATTAGACTAGAGTCCAGTGAAGGAGTAAGGGGAAAGGAGACCACAGTTGTAGGGCCAGGACAATTGTGCCTTTGGTCTTTCAGCACCAAAGGGACACAGTTGCTGTCTCTGACTGCTGTCTGAATTTTACCCCTTTAAGAACTTCTAATGATGTAAAGCAGGATGAAACTGCAAAATGAGTATTCTTTCTGTCTGGTGATCTCCAAACTATCAAGTGATAGACTGAAGAGGATAATAAATACTGTCCCTGCTACTGAATGTATCCAATCAGAAGATAAAGTTATAACAAAGAGCAAGGGATTGCCTGTATTGCTACCGTAAATATATTCTGTGGGGTAAGTCAAGAATTAGAGACAATTCCTAATAACAGCACTCAAGATGAGCTCTGCTAGAGATCTTGTCCATGCCCCATAAATCTGTAGCAAATTAAAACACTAAAAAACACAAAAGGCCAGAAGCGGTGGCTCATGTCTGTAATCCAGCACTTTGGGAGGTTGAGCCCAGGAGTTCTAGACCAGCCTGGGCAACACAGTGAGATCCTGTCTCTACAAAAAATAAAAAAATTAGTCAGGCATGGTGGTGTGCATCTGTAGTCCAGTTCTACTCAGTAGGCTGAGGTGGAAGAATCACCTGAGTACAAATGGTAGAAGGTGCAGTGAGCTGTGATCATGCCACCGTACTCCAGCCTTGGACTGAGTGAGACCCTAACTCAAAAACAAACAAACAAAAAACTCAAAACACTCAAATGATTTATCACTGCTATTTGTTACCCTACTCTAAGACTATATCCAAACACTCCTAAATACCAAGTTTTCTAAGAGTGACATAAAAGAACCAGACAACCCGAACAGACTGTGTGATTCCAAAGCCTATTTTTCCTATCATATGATTACTCTGCTTCTTTGAAGATGCCCAAATGCCAGATTAGTGCAAAACAAAAATAGACCATGAAATAAATGATTCAGGTATGTGTAATTTCAAGAGGAAAAGGAGACTATATAAATGAAAAGACTAGAAGTATAAATTCTGAGAACTACACCTGGGTGAACAGATTCTCTGCTAGATCTCAACACTGTAGAATGTTGTTTTTAGATATCTGAAAAAGGGGGTGGGGGAGGATAATACATGCACATGTAAAAAAAATGTATAGAAAAGTGTAAAAAAACTCCATCATTTATTTCTAGTCTCCCCCAAAGGAAATCACCATTAAACTTCTGTATATATTTCTAGAAACCTCTCTGTGCATATATCAGAATAAATCGTATATATCCTTTAAGAATTCCTACTCAAATGGGTTCATTACCTACATTTTATTCTACACTTAGCTTTTGTCACTTAATATATCTTGGAGATCTTCCCGTATTAGCACAAAGAGAGCTGCTAACTCATTCTGTTTAATGGACACATAGCTTCCTATTATATGGATGTATCATAATTTAAGCAATTCTCTTCTTATAGAATTTCATTTGGCTGGGGTTTTGAAATTACAAGCAATGCTACAATGGATATCTCTGCATAACTACCTTGGCATACCTTTAGAAATATCTATAGAATAACTTCCAACAATGGAATTGCTGGGTCAAAGGGCTGTGCATTTAACATTCTGATATATATTACCAAACTACCTAAAAGGTATGGTCAGTCATATCCTTGGTTCAAATAAATTTAATGATTAATCTTATTGATTTGTAGATTTTGTCATAATTCAGTTAGCTGGCTTTATAGATATTTTGCGACAACTAAATTTTTGTAAAATAACCATTCTTTGCTTTCATGACTCCAGGGTTTTGTGTCAAACATAGAAGGGCATTCTCAACTCCAAAGTTATTTTTGAAAGTAAAAATGAAAAGAAATACTACAGTTTTTGTCTTGGTACCATTTAAAAAAAATCAAATCATGTAAACCTTAAATACATAAAGTTTATTTTGGCATGAAGAATAAGGTCAGGACTCAGTTGTTTTTCCTCCAAAATGGCTAGCATATTTTTCTAACAGCATTTGTTGAATAGTTCACTTTTTTTCATAAAGCTCAAGTATCTGTTGTGGAATTCTAGGTCACAGAGAATAAGAATATAAAAACAGTTATACAAAAATAAATGCCATAAGCGAGGTTATAGAAAATGGTGGAGCAGGAAGCTCCATGGGTTGGTCCCTCCACCGATACAACCAAAGAGCTGGAAAAGTGATTTTAGATCTCCGGAAGTTGATCAGACACTTACAGCAATCAAAAGAGTGTTGGATGAAGGGAGAGACTGCTAAACCTCAGAAGAGAGCAGCATGGGTAAACCTTAGCCCTGCTACAGCTTGCAGGAAGTCGGTCTGTATTCCTAGAGAGCTGGCTGATACCAGGGTGGTAAGAACCTTGTCCTCCAAAAATGTAGAGGTGTGCATTTTGGCCAGTCTGCAGACTCACACAGCTTTGTTTTGGACCCCTCAGGCAGCAGTGGTTTCCCTGGTGGCATCTATCATGAGATTTAAGAACACAGACACACACACACACACACACACACACACACACACACACCCCAGATCCAGTCACTTAATGAAATGTCAGGTCACAGGCTGGCTATACATATAACAAAAAAGAAATTTTCAGTGACTACATACTACAAGGAAGCCAGACTTTGCAAAATTGTTTAGAAAAGTCATGACAGAGACAACTATAGCCTCAACGAATAACAAAAGCAATTCCCAAGGAGGAGGAGAATCTGATTTCCAGAATTATCACAATATAATACTTAAAATGTCCAGTGCTCAACAAAAAAATTTGAAGCATGCATAGAAAAAGGAATAGATGGCACATTCATAGGAAAAATAATTAGAAACTGTCCCTGAGAAAACTCAGACATTAGAATTACTAGTCACAGATGTTAAATCAACTGTTTTAAATATGCCCAAAGAACTAAAGACAACTATGAATAAAAACCTAAAGAAAATCAGGAGAACAATGCCAATAGAGAGAGAGAAATTATAAAAAGAAACCAAAAGAAAATCCAGAGCTAAAAAGTGTAACAGCTGTGTTATGGGTTGAAGGATATCACCCTCAATGCTCCTCAGTTTATACGCTGAAGCCCTAATACCCAGAGTTTGAATGTATTTGGAAATAGGGGCTCCAGGAGATGACTAAGTAGAGGTCATTTTAATGGGCCCTAACATGATATGACTGGTGTCCTTATAAGATAAAATTTGGACAAACAGAGACACCAGGAAGGCACATGAACAAAGAAAAGTGAAGAGCTGGGGAAAAAGCGGAGAAACCAAACCTACTGATACCTTGATATTGCACTGTTAGCCTATAGAACTGTGAGAAAAAAAATTTCCAGTTTAACTTTAAGCCACCCAGTCTATGGTACTTTGTTATGGCAGCCCTAGCAAATTAATATAAGCTGAAATTAAAAATTCATAAGGGAGTGCAAAGGCATATTTGAGCAGGCAGAAGAAAAAAATTAACAAACTAAAAAGAAAAGGGTTATTAAAATTATGCAGCTAAGGAGAAGAAAAAAAAAAAAAAAAAAAGAACACAACCTGAGGCACCTGTGGAACACCATCAGTCACACACATCATAGGAGTCCCAGAAGTAGAAGAGGCACAGAAAGGGGTTAAAAGAATATTTAAGAAAATAATGGTCACAAACTGCCAAAAATTGATAAAAGATATAAATCTACACATCCAAGAAGCTTAACAAACTCCAAGCAGGATAAAGTTAAAGAGATCCACATTGAGACTACTATAGTCAAATTGTAGAAAGCCAAAGACAAGGCAGCAAGAATCTTGAAAGCAGCAAGAGAGAAGCTTCTAGTCACACAAAAGAGATCTTTAATAAAATTAACAGTTAATATCTAATCAGAAACCATAGAAACCAGAAGACAGGAGGACAATATATGTAAAGTACTTAAAAGGATACACCCAAACACCAAGAATTCTACTTCTGGCAAAACTATTCTTTCAAGAATGAAGGAGCCATTTTTTCTTTTTTGAGAAACTGGTCCATATCAGGTCTTTCTACCATGAATCTTCCCTTTTCCTTCTCTTCTTCTCACAAATAAACTGTTTTTTTTTTTTTTAAAAAAAAGGAGAAGGAGAAAACAAGACATTTCTAGATAAATAGAAGCTAAGGATGTTCTTGTAGACCTGCCCTACAAGAAACACTAAAGGGGTCCGTCAGGCTGAGATGAAAGAATACAAGACCAAAATTCAAAGCTGCATAAAAAAATAAAGAATACTGGTAAAGGTAACTACATAGGTAAATATAAAGCCACTATAATCGTGCTTTTGGTTATAATTCTTCTTTTCCTATATGATTTATAAGACAAATACATATAACAATAATTATAAATCTATGCTAATAAGCACACAAAGTATATAACTACAAT